GACAGACAGACAGACAGACAGACAGACAGACAGACATGACAGACATGACCGAAAACATTACCTCGCCCTTGGCGGAGGTAATAAAATATCGACACTTATTGTCCCGCGAGGGGAAATTGAGTCTCTGCATTTAACCCATCGCACATGTAAACACACATGTAGAGCAGTGGGCTGCCGGTTTTGGCACCCAGGGGGCAGATGGGGGGTTGGAGGGCTTGCTCGGGGCCCCAGGGTGGGGCTGGTTGGTTCGGGGAGTCGAGCTGGCGACCATCCAATCACAGACACAAAAAAATTTACAAAGACAAATATTGTTGAAAAACCATGGATGATGAATGGCTTAAGAAATGCATGTAAAAAAGAATCACTTATATTCTTGCTTCCTGAATTGAAGAACAAATGAATCAGAAGATAGATACAAGAAATATAAAAACAAGTTGGTTTGGATTATAAGAAAATACAAGAATGAGTTTTATAGTGAATTATTAGACAAAAGTAATGGTAATATGTGTGGAAACATGGCGAATAATGAATAGTGTTTTGAAAATCCAACCATCATCCAACCATCACCCAACTGTCATCCAAACATCATCCAGCCGCCATCCAACCATCATCCAACTGTCATCCAACCAACATCCAAACATCATCCAACCAACATCCATCCAAACATTCAACCATCATCCAACTGTCATCCAGCCAACGTCCAACCATCATCCAACCATCATCCAACCATCTTCAGCCTTCTGTGTTTAGGTTGTCCAGAGCAGAACCAACATGAGTCAATTTTCCTAAAAAGCACAACAAGAACCAGAACCAAAACCTGAAGGTGGTTCTAACATGAGCGGTAGTGTTAAAAAGGTTTCTTACCTGTAGTCAGAGCCAGAGTCCTCAGAGGAGCAGCTGGATTCTCACAGCGAGGAGAAGTCAGTGCTTCAGACTGCTCAGAGTGTCTGCTGTACCTCAGTTATTTAAACGGGTCAGATGGTCCAGAACAGGTTCCAGAACAAGACTGATGGAATTCTGATGGATGACCAGGTCCGACAGGTTCAGCCATCAGCTGTCTCCCAACAACTTCGGGAATTTTAAACGTTTCCATTACTCTGAAAATATTTCTGACCTGTCACATCAAACCCAGG